TAACTCTTTATGAGAACACATAGCCCCATCTTTCTCCAAAAAGAGCTGCTGGCAGTTTGGAAATGTTGACCTTGCAGTTTTCAGCCCATCACACGATAGCCAGTACACCACCAGAGCTCCCATAAAAAACATGTATATATAATTTTCACTGTCATGGAATCAATACCAACTCTGATAGACCCTATAGCACAGGGTAAAAGTGAGTTTCCTAGACTGCGATCATTTACAGGATTAATAAGCTCAATGTTTCTCTCACGGAGCAGCTGGTGCTTTTGAACTGCAGACCTTGAGGATTACAGCCCAACAGCAACCACTACACCACCAAGGATGCTGTATGTATATATTGTTGTCATATCAACAATATATACCAACCGATATTAGGTCGGTTCTGACATATCAGGACGTAGGCATAACAGAACACATCACTGTCTGGTCCTGTGTCACCCTTAAAAGTGTCCCTGTGCCTGAGCCCATAATTGCAGTCACCGTGTCAATCCACCTCCTCAAGAACCTTCCTCTTCTTTGCTGTCCCTCCACAGTACCAAGCATGATGTTCTTCTCCAAGGAATGGTCTCTCCTGAATATATGTCCAAAGTATATGAGGAAGTTTTGCCATCCTTGCTTCTAAGGAGCACTCTGTTCACACTTTTTCCAAGGTATATCGGTTTGTCCTTTCAACATTTTCAATCTTCTCCAGTACCATAACTCAAATGCTTCGATTTATCTTCAGTCTTACTTATTCAATGTCCAATGTTCACATGCATATGAGGCAATGAAAAAGACCATGACTGAGGTCAGACAAATCTTTTCGGCAACATAACATGTTTGACTTTATAACCTTGTGAAGCACATCTCGACTGCCGATTCCGTAAGCATTTATTGTGTATCCAAACAGGACAAACTCCTTGACAACTTCAACACTCTCTTCACTATCTCCATTTATCATGACGTTACCTATTGATCCCATTGAGAGGATTTGGGGCTTCTTTTTCTTGATTGATTGATCAATTTTGGTCTTCTTGACATTGAGTTGTGAACCATACCAAAGACTTCAATTCTTGATCTTCATCAGTAAGTGTTTCAAGTCCTCTTAACTTTCAAGCAGGGTTGTGTCATCTGCATAGCTCAGGCGGTTAATAAACCGTCTTCCAATCCTGATGCCACATTCTTCTTGAGTCCCATGGCCTTGTTTTAATTTTCTTCAGCTTCAGTCTGAACTTACAGATGAGCAATTGACTGTCTCTTTCACAGTCGGCCACTGGCATGATTTAGCTGCTGATACTGAGCATCTCCTTCATATCTTCCAATAAATGCAGTCACTTTGATTTCTGTGTATTCCATCTGGGGAAGTTCATGAATACAGTTATCCTTTGTGTTGCTACAAAAAGGTATTTGCTATGAACAAGTCATTGGTTTTGCAAAACACTATCCAGCTTCATTTCTATCACCAAGTCCATTTGCAACAACTGTTCCTTTTGCATTGTGATTGCCAATACTTATCAATGCATCTGGATTGTATGTTTGATCAATATCCGATGGTAGTCATTGATAGAATTCTTTCAATTATTCATCATTAGCTTTGTGATAAATGCATACATTTGAATAATAGTTATATTGACTGGATTTTCTTGGAGGTGGAGAGATAAAATCCTAACAGACAGCATTGTACTTATGCTTGACAGCATTTGTACCTGAGTTCTTAGATTAGTCTGATTTCTGTTGTCTCACTGTAGGAGATTGTTGTTACTGATCGCTTCCCAGTTGAGTTTATCTCATGTGCCAGAGCAAAATGGCTTGATAAGGATTTCTAAACTGTAGAAAACTATCTACAAATCTTTTTCTCAACCTTTCATTTAGTAACCAAGTTCTTAATCATTTGAGCCTACAGGGCTCTTTTGTCCTGTGTTTAAAAGTATATGTACATGTTACATATAAAAGCCTCTTTATATGAAACCAAACAAGCTCTGGTAGGGCTGTAGGATTTATTTTGGACTCTTAATCATGAGAGAGATGAAGCTCTTTGCTACAAATAAAGATCTGGCGATGTGTCAGAATTGACTCGATGCCTGTGAATTTGGTGTGGGCTGGTTTTATGTTGCCAAGAATATATTAGAGCCTTCCGTTTTCCCCCAAATAGTCATTATTGGTGTTTATCTATACCTGTCAAAAATATTGATTAAAAATAGACACCCTGCCTGACTCTTTATTTACACCACCTTTCACTGAGATGTTATAATAACAAACCACCAGTAAAAGGTTTTAAACTGACAGAGGCACCTCACAACAAATTAAGCTTCCTTTTCCTGAGCTATGTCACGACACCTACCATTGCAGACTTCTCAGTAAGTTAACTGATTCTAAAATCTCACTCTGCCATTGCTTTTCCAGAGTGGCGTCATGGAAACTGGGTTTGATTTCTGGTGCTCAAATAGAGTTTGATTTCCGGATTGTTAAGAAGACAGTGTACAGACAGAAATACATTGACCATATTTTGTTAGGAAATTGAACAACAACACAATCTTAACTAGAATATCAAACAAACCTATGGGTTTTTCTCAAACCAGGGGACTAGAAATTTTGTTTTCAGTTAAGCCATCAATTTACTACAAATACTGGATTTAGGGCTAAACTAGAGCTCTGACCCTGGATTAGCTTTCTCTATTCAACCAGCAAATCCCAATCCCAAAACATACGATACCAAATTCACAACCTGATGTATAGAGACACTTATATGAAAGGGGTAGAACTGCCCCTGTGGGTTTCCTAGATCATAACTCTTTATGTGAGTAGTGGTTGTTTGTATTCGGTGCCATCATGTTGGGTCTGAATTATAATGACTTTATGCACAACAGAACAAAACACTGCCGTGTCATCTTCATAATGGCTCCAATGTGAGAGCCCATTGTTAGAGTCAAAATGTCAATCCATCTCTGGGAGGGCTTTCCTTTTATAAGTAGTCCATGTTACTGTCAATATTCTTCTCCAACATCATAATTCAAATGCATTGATTCTACTTTGGTCTTCTATACTCAATGTTAACTTTCACATACATAGGAGGCAATTGAAAATATGATGGTTTGGGTCAGGTAGAAGAATACTTGACTGCTGCTTCCAAGCAAGACAAAGCCCTTGACAACTGCAACCTTTTCTCCATTTATCATGATGTTGCCTATTGGTCCAGTTGTGAGGATTTTGGTCTTCTTAATATTGAGTTGTAGTCCATACTGAAAGGTGTAGCTATTGATCTTCATCAGAAAGTGCTCGAAGTCTTCATCACTTTCAGTAAGCAAGGTTGTGTCATCTGTAAATCACAATGCAGATTGTTAATAAACTTTCTTCTAATCCTGATGCCCTATTCTTCTTAATATAATCCAGATTTTCTGATAATTTGTTCAACCTATAGATTGAATAAGTAGAGTGAAAGGTTATAATACTGTTGTACATGTTTTATTATTTTAATACATGCAGTTTTCCTTTTTTCTGTTTGAACAACTACCTCTGGTTCCCTGTACAAGCTGCACAAGATCACAATCAAGTGTTCTGTCAGAAGATGATCCGTAGTTTTTAATGACCAACACAGTTGAATGCCTAGACATAGTCAATAAAACACAAGCAAACATATTTCTCATTTTCTCTGCTTCCAGTCAGAAATGTCAGATGCTTCAATCTAATATCACTGATGATATCCCTTATCCCTTGTCCTCTTCTGAATCTGACCTGAACCTCTGGCAATTCCCTGTCAACGTACTGTTGCAATAGTTGTTGAATGATCTTAAGCATAATTTGACTGGCATGTGACAACAGTGATATCGTTTTATGTTTGGGGCATTCTTTTGCATCATCTTTCTTTGTAATGGGTACAAATATGCATCTCTTACAGTCAGTTGGCCAAGTAACTGTCTTCCAAATTTCCTGGCGTAGAAAACTTAGTGCTTTCAGTACTCCCTCCGATTGTGGAAACATTTCAATGGATGTTCCATCAATTCCTGGATCCTTGCTTTTACCCGATGCTTTCAGTGCAGCTTGAACATCTTTCTTCAACATCATTGGCTTTTGTTCTTGTTCTGCCCCTTAAAACCATGGGCTTCCCACTAGTAATTTTGGTTCAGCAATTCTGTGTATTCTTTCAATTTTCTCTTGATGTTTCCTGCATCATTCAATATTTGCCCATGGAATATTTCAAGATTGCAAGTAGCTGCTTGATTTTTTTTTTCAGTTCTTTCAGTTTCATATATGCTGAGCATGTTCTTCCCTTTTGGTTTTCTAAGTATTTTCACATTCATTATAATATTTGACTTTTTCTTCCTGATTTGCCCTTTGAAATTTTTATTCAGCTCTTTGACTTCATCCTTTCTTCCATTTTATTTAGCTCCTCTATGATTAAGAGCACATATCAGACATCTACTGTTCCTTCTTTCTTATATTTTTCATGACCTTTTATGTTCTTCATGCATGATGGTCTTGATGTCCTCCCACAGCTCATTATCTCTTCTTTCATTAGTATTCTATCCATCAAATCTATTGAGATTTTCTTGAAATTTTAGTCAGATGGTCTCAAGAGTCATATTTTGACTCTTGTGGTCTTTTCATTTACTTCAGTCCTAACCTGAACTTACATACGAACTATTGTTGGAATTAGAAAGCGTTATCTTTCTCCCATAGATCAGCTGGTTGTTTCAAACTGCTGAGCTTGCGGTTAGCAGCTCAATACTAACCCACTACAACACCAGTGGCCTCAAGAGAACCCCCAGAGGCAGCTAACAATTTTTAAAAAATCTCTTCAATCATCACTCTCTGAAGGTTGGAATAAACCATATACAAGTATATCCTACTATTACAAAATAGAGAGTTCACGATGAAAAATTTTAGAGTGGTATAAAGGGTAGAAGCAATTACCACTAATTTATATGGAGACTAAAATGTAGTATTCCTAGAGGCAATATTAATGGCTTATTAGACACAGAAACCATGAAATAATACTAACATAAAAGAGTGCATAAGGATAATTAAAGCTTTGACAGGTTAGTGCTGAAAGACTCAATGTAGTTACTTTGGAAGGAATTTGTGAATGCTATCTTGCTGCTAGAGGTACCTATTGCCTCTTTAAGCAAACTCACTCCAAATTTGCAGCCATGGAGTCAATGCTGGCTCATAGTGACCCCATAGGACTGCCACAGAGTCAATGCTGGCTCACAGCAACCCCATTGGACTGGAAGACTAGCCATGTGGATTTCTGAGACTGGAATGCTTCTCTGTAAATCCAATGCTGAAGGCACATTTTGCTTTTAACATTTTTTTCAGCAAGCAACATTCCTTTTCAGCTGAGTTAGAATTAGTGAAAACAGTATTAATTTAGGTCTTTTGGGGAACCAAAATTGCATAACAAGAACTTTTCAAAGATATGTGATATCTACCAGTATGTGCCTGATGGGAATTCTGGGCTATGCAGTGTTTCATGAAATAAACCAAAACCTTCGGACTTCTACTTTAGAAAAACTCTCTTATATAGTAATTTTGGGTTGACAAAATTTATTACAGGAATTTAATTATTAAATTAGTAACCCCAAATAATAACAATTATTATTACAAATGCGTGTAATATAATTATATAATCTATGTTTACACGTATGTTTTACAAGATAAGATTTTACAATCTTTTAACTACAATCTATATATGAAAGAAATGTAACTTGTGGGTCTTGATTATTCTGACATTCTACCATGGATGGCAGATAAATAAATTACAAAGTCTTAACCCAGATTATTTCACAGATAGCTTCCTATTATTAATTATATGATTTTATTTTTTATATGACTTTTCTCTTTATGAGTATATAGATACTAAAATAAGTGCTTCCAATAGAATTAGTAATATTGGTGACATATATATTTATCTTTATCTTGAACTCATCCATGCCTAAATTCTGAAATTATACTTTTTTTTTATGCTGTGGTATTTGAACACAATTTTGTAAACAGCATCCTGACATTTCATCATGACTTTATAGAGTTATAACTAAAAGATTAGTTGATTTGTTATCTGATTAAATCTTGCCATAAAGACTAAAATAGTAATTTTATAAATCACATTTACTTTTAAAAATGTCACAGCTCAAAGTTCAACTTGAAATAATTATAAATTTGTTATCTAAAATGCTTCTTAATAGAATTGAAAAGGGAAAGGCAACTAACAAAAATCAAGTGACAATATGTAAAGTATAATGAGAACTGTAAATAACAATTCTGATTGCAGAGCAGAAATAGTTTGTGTGATATTTCTGAATATTAACTGAATATTCAGTGTAATCCTCTTATGCGAGGTTTTCACACTTTCTTGACATACATGAAAATCTTATAAAATTCCCTTTTGGTTCTCATTAATTTAATACAAAGAAAGTTTTCATTTTTGTTTATGACTTCAAACAAATATATCTCCTTGATACTGAAAAAGAATATGAAGATTTATATGATTATAAAATGAAGTTTTATTATTTTAATATATAATCCACTTTAAATATTATACCATGCAAATAATTTTACATGTTTGTTAATCAAAGACTTGAAGAAATTACAATCATTGTTTATTTCACAGTTTTATAGCATCTTAACTGCAGATATGATGACAGATACCCTTTTAGCGTCAAAAGATCATGACATTTGGAATTGAATCTCTTCTGAGTAATTTGTAAAATATGTTGCTATAAATATAGGATGACATTTCAAGTGGTAGATATAGTTGTGGGTCAGAATTTAGTATTAGATAATAAATATATGATCACATCTGCAATATGTAACAACATTAACATTTTTCTCCCCTTTTATATAGGAAATACTGCCTGTTTCCCAAGTCCCACTTATAACCCCTTTACATGGTTGTTTACCCTGGTTTCTTGTCCTAACTACACATATGAGGTAGGCTATTTATGCTAATAAATAATTAAATTGTATTTGATCTAATACTAAGTACAACCTTTAGTATATTTACTAATAGATTGGTATGTCTGATAATGTTTATGTGTTTTAAATATAGCCATAATGAAAATCAATCATTTAAATTATGATTTATATTTGAATTAATGATTTAGGCACAGAAATTGGAACGTTTCAACCAAAGTATGTCCTGAAAGATAAAGTTATAGTTTGATGTAATTTTATCACTGAAGATCTTATAATACTCATTTAAAATGGTTTGAAGTATTTGAAGACTTTAAATTTATCCGTTTTCTTTGAGAAAAACATGCACTTTTATTTGCATCTCATTGTAATTTGTTTGGTTTTTATGACTTTACTACACTTATCAGAGTATTTATTACTACACATTTTCAACTATTTCTTTATTTTCAAATCCTAGTTTATGTTACAAGCGAAGAAATGACCATTTTAACCAATAGTTTCCATTTATTTTTCTTTCAACTTAAAAGATTGGATCATGGATTAGTTTCACAGTCATGACACAAACACTGCCAGGTGAGATTTATGTTTATTGGTAATCATGTAAATATGTACTAGAAGAGATGATAACTGGGAACAAGTTGCTATCCTTCTACAATTTGCATGCTTATAAAATTTATTGTATTTTCACTTTAATGTGGATATTTAACAGTATTAAAAGAGATGGAGACATGATTTGCTATATATTTACATATTTGATACTTATATAACCTAAGACATTAAGTCCAGCTATTTTATTAACAATGAAATTAAAACAAAACAAAAAAACAACCAGTAGCCATAATAATGCTCTTCCCCCCAAAACAAACAATGCTCTTCCCTTGAAACAGTCTCTGTGTTTCATGAGCAGGCGGGAGAATATGCTCTGTGACCTCACGTGCCCCTGAGTGTCTATGAAGAGAAAATTAGGGACTACATTGGGGAATATCCAATGCTGGGGTTAATTATAACATAATCTGAGAAGTTTAAAAGAATTCACTTCATATATTTTAAGTATATTCATAGAAATTATTTTCACCATCTTTTGTCCAACTGTAAAAATGTTTTGAATAACAATTATTACAGTTTAGGTAGGATATGCTTATGTATTTGTATATTTTAGTTTTATGTATACAACCCAAATCAAGCTAACTACCCTCAAATCAATGCTGACCCATAGTGAACATATAGGAAAGAATAGAATTGCCCCTGGGAGCTTCTGAGGCCTTAACTCTTCATTGGAGAAGGGAGCCCCGCCAGTCTCCCAGGGAGCGCTGGTGGTTGCAAACTGCTTACCTTTGAAGTCACAGCCAAGCATGTAACCACTACGCTCTCATAGCTGCTATTCAAGTTGATGGAACTGTTACGGAAAAAATTAAGAAATACAACCAATTCCATATTTGGATGTATTGTACAGCAGTATGGTTATTTTATGTGAATTTAGTTTGAAGTCTACTTCTCTTTTCAATGTTTATTTATCTATGCAAGAGTCTTGGTTGAGCATATGGCATGCTAGACAATGAGAATGACAAACACTGGTAGTAAATTATTTAACACATGTCTATATGTTCTAATATGCTATATCCATGACAGACATAAGAAATAAATGTACAATTATCTCTTCCCTTCTAGTTGGAATTTTTACACTTCTGATGAGTATCCAGATGTCTTTGTGGGCACAAAGGAAACATAAAATGTACCTGAAGAAATTCAATTATTGTATGCCCAGGAAATCAGCAATGATTCCGTTTATATTATGATGGGGGGAGAGTAATCATCTCTCATATATAATGACAGCATAGAAAATCACTTAATCAGGTTTGATCACACATACCAGACTATTGTGTTCATGAAATTCACAAACAATGACGTGCACTTACTGAACATATTTAGAATTTAGATAAATTTACAATCACAAATGAACATTGAAAGTAGAAATTAGACATAAAATTAATGGAGTAGAGCAGTCAACATGTTTGAAAGTTGTTGATGCTTGAACAAGGATTTTTTTACTTTATTAAATACTACATAGTATTATATTCATCACTCAATGTAATCACATCTAAAATGATTTTTTAAGTTGTGATAATTAAGTCAGTTGAGTTGCTCACCATATTTTGATAGTAATCTATATTTTTAAATTACACAGTGTGTAGCATAGAAGTATTAAATGCATTATTCTATCAGTTCCAGTTCATTTGAAAACTATAATGTGTTATAACTGAAATACTAGGAATTAGGCACATATCTTGCTTAAATAATCTGTAAAACCTCCATTTTTACAATATCATCTTTATAGTTTATTTTTAATTGTTATTGGGATGGAGAAGAAAAATTGCATTATAAATCTGATTGGGAAAATTTACAAAAATACATCCAATTGAGATGTCAGCTAAGTTCACATGGAAGAAGCACATCTACATCAGTGATGTAAATTACATACTCTGAAGCTGAAGAAGAGGATACTATCAGAACCTAAACTGTGAGAGTCTGTTTTGCAGAAGGCTATGCATGACAGTGGGAGCCCAACATACATTTGTGAGATGTCCATAGGATATTAGCGTCCAGTGATTTCCCTGCTTCCCTAATAGAAGGATGGGAAGAAACTGGTGGCCAGAGTGCATGGGAGACATGAGTATAGAAAGGTCCAAATGATTCATCTGACTTGATCAGTTAAAACCTTCTCGGTTGATCTCCACTTTGATGCACATTGGGCCTGATCTAGTTTTCAATATTTTCTGTAATTTTTGGTAGTTCACATTGGGGTTTACCTCAGACATATTTTGTCATTGTGGGTAGCCTCCTGGAATTTTTGTTATTTGTTTTGTTGCTTTTCAGTATATGAAACCCAGGATTGATGAACCTATAGGCCAGCTAGTAGAATAAGACTTTCTGTGGGGTATGCTGTGTGTGTGTTGGGGTGTGGGGGGAGTGCAAGGAGGGAATAAGGGGAATAAAAGGGAGCTCATATCAAGGAGTTCACCAAGGAAGAGAGTGTTTTGAAACTGGTAGCAATTGTACAATATTTCTTGATATGATTAAATATGAAAAATATGTTATTGGTATTAACTCCAAATAAAATTATTTGGGGGGAAAAAGTAAATATGTTTTACTGTGTGTATGTCAGTGTTTATGCAATTTGCTGCTGTTGACTTATATCATTGGAAAGCATGGCGACCCCATGTGTTTCAAAATAGAAATGACCCACAGCACTTACTTGGCTGTTATTTTAATGAAATATACCTATTTATCCCTGAGAATACCTTATCCTCAAATCACTCTGTTGTGGTGGTGGTGGTGTGCCTTGGTTCCAATGCATAGCAACCACAGGGACAAAAGACTGAAACACTGCCCAGATCTGAGCCATACGTACAATCATTGTTGTGTTTGATCCCATTGTTGCTGCCATATTATCAATTCGTCTTACAGCAGGCCTTCCTCTTTGTCTCTGCCCCTGTACTTTATCAAGCCTTTTAGATCCTTACCTCAAAGGCACATTATGCCTGTAATTATAGGAAAAATTTGTTTTTTTCTTTTGCCAATCCATGATACTTTTGACAGTCTAAATCAGAACCATAATTCAAATGCATTGAATCTTCTTTAGTGTTCCTTATTCAATTTCCAACTTTAAAATGCATGTCAGGTAATGGAAATGTCATTGGATGAGGCAAAGTATGTTCTGAAGAAGGAGAGAATGGGTAGCTCCTCATTTGAGATGAAAGCTTCATTAGTAAATACATATAAATATATTTCTAAGTAACACTGTTCCTCCAAGTTTATGCCCTTATAATGAGATTCAGACGCTAACTGCCATGTCCATATCTGTATAATGAAACTAAGGATTCCTCTTGCTCAAGAGACGGCATCGTGCCAGAGCCAACCTGGAGGTGACTCTTTTGAGGTCTAGCTCCATCTAGCCCGACTGAGTTGACCACCCATTTGTGTTCTCACTGGAGGGTGGCTGACTTGGTTTCCATGCTCTAAATCTAACTTCCTACCTAATGAAATCAACTCTTCAATAACTTTTTCATTAACCAGCAAATGTGTATCAGTTGCCTATGGTTGAATTTTAGTATTTCTATTTAGATTGTTATGGGATTCCATACTTTTTTGTTGTTTAATGAGTGTTTGTGTTAGTCTGAGTACTTTAGAGAAACAAACCCACAGAAACTCATGTATACGAGACAGTTTTATAAAAAGGTTAAGTGCACATCAAGGAAAACATTCCAACCCAGTGCTGCCCAAGCCCACATGTCCAACATTAACACACATGTCCAACACCAACACCAATCCACAAAGTCCTCCTCCACCTCACAAAACAGATGCAATGATGCTGACTGAAGGAAGAAAGTTGAGTCAGTGAATATGTAAGCATATTCAGCACTGGCAGGGGTCTCCACATGGCTACTCCAGCACCCAGGGTTGCATCAGGGTAGGTCTATGTAGGTTCTCCTTGGGGATGTCTTTCAGGAAGTCAGCCTTGCAAACTGAAGCAGAGAACTGCTAAGGCAGCTGCACCCTGGCCTGACCATCACAAAGCAAGAGACCCAAGAACTAGAAAAGCGAGGCTTACTGAGTCATTTATCCCTCCGCCCTTCAATTAACCCACATGTGTTTATTGGCCAGGTTGGCACAATAAACTAACTACCGCAGTGTTAGAGCGTTAATAACTTTTTTGCTGTTCTTCACTCCACAGTTGTATTTTAATATTGCATATTTTTTAAAATTATAATTGAATTTTTAGATTATTGCTTTTATTACTTTTGAGCACTTAATCACACAGAATCCTAACTTTGATCTTTATTTTACCCAGGATATTTTGCCACATAATTTAAGAACATCAATGATGCTATTTTTGTTACATTTGTATATAATTTGAGAGTTAGATAAAGATCTAGAATATAATGAAACAAAAATATCTCAGTTTAAAAATGAATAAAGAAGTGTCATTTAAATATTTTAACTAATGTATGCCTCAATTTTTATATTACTAGTATATCTTGTTGGAATATTTTTGCCTGTCCATATACAAGGAGCTCTAGAATGAAAAAGGTATGCTTGGCTATTAATCAAAATGTGATGGTTCAAAGCCATCAATAAGTGCTATGGGGGAAAAGCTTGATAATGTGCACCCAATAAAAAATAAAAAAAATCCCAGTAAACCCTGTAGATCATTTCTGTTTTGAAATACATGGGGTCACCATGAGTTAGAATTGTACCAATAGTACAAGTCAAAACTACAAAATTCATAAACACTGACATACACACATGTGTTGGGAACTCAAAGATATTTACTATTGTTACGAAAAAAAAGGTTTTGGCTTTATTTACAAAACCATTTTATTGGAGCTAAACAGATATCATATCAATCTACTCATATCAAGCAATATTGTACAACCAGTTCTCTCTATAGTTACTGCTGCTTTCTTTCTTCTTTTTAAATATTCACACATTACCTATGTCTAATAGCGGTTATTGTTCAGCATATTTTTCATTATTTTTGATCCATTTAAAAAAATTGGGCCCAAATATGGATCTGTTCCTGTCAGTTTGTCTGATAACTGTTTCTCTCCCTTTTAAATGCCATAGACCATTGAGCCCTTCCAGTGTTGCATGCATTTATTGAAACATTTTTGTTGTTATTTTATCAATTTCTGAAACTTTACTTTTCTCCAGTTCTTTCATTTTTGTTTTCTCCAATAACATAAGTTCCTCATTACTACCACTGAAATGGTTGAATATCAACCAACACTTTTTGGTGTAATGAACGTGTACTTCTTCTATCGTCTTTAATGTTTAACATTTTTACTGACCTATAATTCCCATAATACAATTTATTGGCTAAATATACCAAAAAGAATTGCACAATCATTGAGAATTAATAATAAAGGGTAAAGGATAAGAACCTATTCTTACATTGCTTGTGGTAGTGTTTGCACAACTCTCCAATCTTCTTTTGAAACTTCATGCATCATTCAATATTTTGTTTTGAGAATCCTTCAGTATTGCATTTCTCCCAGCTTCATGCTCACTGCCACTGCATCAATTCCAGCTCATAGTCACCCTGGAGGATAGAGTAGAACATCTCCTATGGGTTTCTAAGACTGTAACTCTTTACAGCAGTGGAAAACCTGCTCTTTCTCCATCAGAGAAGCTGGTGGTTTTGAACTGGTGACCTGCATAACTGTTGACCTTGCATAACCCTAATGATATTGGTGCTTCTCGCAGATTGCATCTGGAGGCTTGAATTTTCCCCCCACTTTGTTTAGCATGATAAATGTCAAGGAATTCTTCTCGTTTGGCTTTCTAACCTTACATATTTTACTCTATTGGCTTACATTGTCTTCTGTAACAGCCCTCAACTCTTTTACTTCATCATTTCTTTCAGTTATTTTAACATTTAAGAGCAAATTTCAGAATCATGACTGATTGGTATTTTCTTCCTTTCTTTTTTCATGACTCTATTCTTCATGTGTCATGTACTTATTGTCATCTCATAACTCATACTTTTAAGTTAATGCTATATCATTATTTAATGTGTCAAATATTTTCTTCAGATGGTCTCTCAATTCAGGTGGGGTATATTCAGGGAATTACTTTGTTTTCATGGTTGTTTAATTTCCTTCATCTTTATCATGAACATTCAAAGGGGAAATTGATGATTGTTCAACAGTTGGACCTGGTTCTGTTTTAACTGATATTAGATTTCTTCACTCTCTCCTTAAAGGGCCATAAAAGCAATGTATGACCTGATCTGACTAAAAAGAGTCCAAAAAAGTCACACTCAACATCAACTCTAAGTATGGACATTAGACATGCCTCCACCCTCCAAATGTCTTACTAATTTTGACATCACTGTCCCTCCCTTGGCACTCACTACTTCTCTTCTGGGTTTATTATTTCATTGCAATGCATAGCTAGAACTCACAGTCAATACTCACAATTTTGATATTTTTAAAGACATGAACAGTTTAGAAGTCATGCTCAGAAATGTTCAGAATACATTTATTCTAGCCAGGAATGCCTTTTCTCAACTGTATTCACCTTGTCTATTCCTTGGGAACCTCAACCATGTGGCACATTGGAGTCTATTATGATCTGACAAGAGTTATAACACTCTTTTAACGTTGCTGATAAATGCCCAACTGGTAATATACCCCACCATAAGCAATATCTACCAGTTCAGTGTCTTTCTTTACCTTGTTGCACCTTCCCACTTTCACTTAACCAGTGGACCAAGACAATGATCAACAAACATAAATAATTCAAGTTGCAATGAAGACTT